CAGAATGGAAAAAGTTCACAAAATACATTTTTAGGAGTTGTTATAGATGATAAAAATATCCTGGAACCCCACATACTTTATAAGGTCAAAAGTTGTAAATGTGTTGGAATGATGAGAGGAGAGCAGTCATTTACTCAACACCAATGCTCTTCTATTATTGTATCGTTCATTTTCATCTTGTCATTTTTACAATACTTGTTGAATCGTGTGGGGAAACTGCTACAAATCCCTCTTTACAGCTTGTCTCGATGCAGAAAAAGGCCATAAGGTTGTCTCTAATGTTCACTACAAGCTCATAACTTCACCCACTGGTTCATAGAGTTGAAGATTTTAAACCCTTGTTGTATTATGTTGAAAAAAAAATTACATTGATTATTGTTGCGGTCTTTTTTGACCCGTAACTGTGTAAATGCACTCAAACAGTCAGAAAACAGGTATTAACTTTAAAACCTTTAACAATATATCGTAGGCTACTATAAATATTTATAATAGGACTTAATATTTTTAATTTCCAACGCTATATTATAGAAATATTAGTCTAATCCTATTGTCTCTCTCGGGTCAAAATGACCGCCAACATAATCATGTAATTTTTTTTCTACTTACATACAAGGGTTAAATTTCCAACTCTATGAAACAGTGGTCGTGGTATGATGCTTGTAGTGAACATTAGAGACAATCTGATGGCCTTTTTCTGCATCGTGATCAGAGGGCTGTAAGTGGGATTTGTCAGCAGTCTTCCCCACACTTCAACACAGTAATGTAAATATGACATGATGAAGAACGTCTACAATAATAGAAGAGCATTGGTTGTTGTCGGTAATATGACTTGCTCTCTCATTATTCCAACACATTAGCAACTTTTGACCTGATGAAATGTATGTGGGTTTCCAGGATATTTTTCATTCTATTACAACTCCTCAAAAATGTATTCTTGGTGAACTTTTTCCTTTTCTGTAAGTCAATGACAATCCTTGTACAGGAATATTACATCTGCGATTGCTAAAAAGCCTAATCGTGGTTTTTTTTTATATTTAATGACAATCTGGTTTTGTATTAAACCCAGGTCTTTAGTTTGTTCATTTTCACAGTTACAAGGCCAAGAGCTGCTCCAGATCATCACATGCACATATGACTATTTGTGTCATCGGCAAAAGAGAAGGTATTTCATTAAGTTTGATATTGTACATATTCATTTATGTACATTATGAATAAAGTGGGTCAAGTATTGTTCCTTGAGGTACTCCCATCGTATGTTCTTAAATCCAGATTTGTGATGGTCATCTGTACCAGCTGCCTTCTCTCACTTAAAATAACTCTCTAACATTGTTTTAAGGCTGTCCCCTTTATCCATAGCTCTTTCAAATTGTGTGTATCAAATTTGGTGGTCAATTGTATCGAACCGCTTTTTGAAGGTCAATGAAATCCCCTAAAAAAAATATATTTTTCTCAATTAACATTAGTAATTTCTTCATGTAAATCAATTTAGTGCTAGGGGAAGTGGGATCTGTTTTGTCTAAAATCCATATTGACTATTGGACAGTAATTGTGGTTTCAATAAAGCAGCGAAAGTCTAGTGTCAAATTACTTTTTCTAATATTTTAGAAAACTGTGCAGAAGGGAAACAGGCCGATAGTTTGTAAGTGGGTGTTGTCTCCAGCTTTAAAATTGGTATGACTTTTGCGTGTTACATTTGTGAGGGAATTCTCCCAGCTGAGAAGATAAGTTGCAGATTGTGTGAACGGGTTGCAATTCCTCTGCTACATTTCGACAGTCTCAGTCGAGATCACTTAATATCACCAGATGTTTTATTTTTACAGTTCCTAATGGAACCATTGTGGTCTTTCCTTCTCGTCTGTAGGGGGCGATATTAAACATCGAATGTGAATTTGTTTCTAATGAGTTCTCTTGCTGATCATTGTTTTCTGGGATTTTTCCTGCCAACTCAGGCCCTATTTTCACAACAGAAATTATTATAAACCATTTGCAATCTTCTTTTTGTCTCAAACAATCATGTTCATTTTCAAAAAAAAAATCAGGTAACAAGGCTGTTAGAGGCCTCGACCAATAACGCTATTCAATACATTCCAAATTCTTTAATGTCATTTTTCTTTTGGAAAATAAATCAATATAATATTTGTTTCTGCTGGTTCTCATATGCTAGTTAATTTTAGGTATTTAAATGTTTGTTATTTTGTTCCGTTTCTGTCGTTTGATACTAAGAAATGCCTATACAAGTAATTTTCTTTTTGCAAGCGTTTTTACAAGCCTCTTGTTACCCATGGGAGTTTTTGTGTGTCTTTTTGTTGCACTTTTTGATTGGACATGCTTATCCATAAGTAGTGAGGGAAAATGTCAGAAACAAATTGTAAGCTCCATCACATCAAACTTTGAAAAAATAGGATCCCAGTTTTGCCTCGCTAGATCATGCTTTTAATGCTAAAAAAGGATTGTTCTGTTGTAACTCGTTGAAAAAAGACCCTTTTTACTGTTTGGAAATATTGCTGTTGACATCATACATCATGAAGACCGGAAAATGATCATCAATATTCACTAACACACTCAGTTAACTTGTCGTCTAAAATGTTGCAGAACATATTGTCTATAAGAGTGGCACTATGAGTGTGATTCTCGTGGGGTCTGCTGATACAAGTGGAACGAAGCCCAAAGAAAACATGGTGTCAATAAATTCCTCTGTAAGTTACAGTTTATTTGAATGTAAATAGGTTAAATGTTAAGTCTCCGTCATATGATAAATTGTTTGTTTCTATTAATTAAATATCTTTTCCATCCATTCCTAAATCAGTTTCAAGTCGGATCCTTGTGTCTGTAAACGCAGCTTACATTAATGTTTTTCTTGTTTGGAATTGATTAGATCTATCGGGACACACTCAAAAGGTATTATCGCTAAACACAATTCATTTACAATAGAACAGTTCATGTTTTTGTCCTGTTAGTGCATCCCCCTCCTTCTATTGAGTTGCCGGTTTGTTACAGAACATTTTCATAACCCTCTAATTCAAAGTCACTCTCACTATCTCTCTTATCCACGTCTCGAAATACCAATTATATTAAAAGGTGATTAAAATTGGTTTTCAAGGAGTCCTGGATGCCTTCAAAATTTGGCGTTCATAACCTCCTGCTTATAAATTGTACAGAGATATACTTTTTTCTTGCAATGAATCTTGTCTCTAAATGTGATGTTTTGTATCATATAGACAATCAAGTGTTTGAGTTCATTTTGATAGGATATTTTTTCTGGATCAATTTCATGCATAAAGCTTTGTGATCTATAATTATTATGGTCAGAAAACTAATAGGCTCCAAGTTTATGTTCTCAGATCTTCATCCTCAGTTTCAGAAGAGCCTTCGCATATCAACCTATACATGTAGTATCTTTCAGAGACATGAATTAAAGAGAGAGGGTGCATCGGTCGTAAAAGTGAGGGGCCGCAATCACACAGGACACCACAGCCACATGACCATGAAAACTTACACAAGTTCACTCTCCACCACAGAAACTAGAGGAAAAATGGCAACAAAGATCAATTTTATAATCTTCAACCAAAATCATGTGATAATAACTCAACAAACAACATTAAATGGTTTAAAACAGGATGATATCAACAAAATTCAACAATAAAATTGTCTGCTACCAAATAAAAGTTGGGAGGATGTATCAGAATGACAGCAAGCTTTCAGTTAAAAAGAACACGGTGTGAGACTATGTTGTTTACTATGGTGGACAGTCCCGTATGTGATTATTCAAATCACTTATACAATAGTAAACAGTTGAAATATGTGGCTGTATGGCCGAACGTCTCCACACTATATCCTATCCAACAGTCACTTTATAGTGCGGGACTTTAACCGTAAACCTGAGTGCGCAAATTAGTCAAAAACAGATTAGTGTTTAAAAATTAAAAATAACTAAATGTACTACTTTATTACATTTAATTAGTAATTCAAACTATCCAATTTTCATGTGCATGAAATTATCTTATTTTAATTTCTACTAGTATTATACTTTTAATTATCAATAACTTATATTATTTTATTTACTGGACTACTGCTTTAAATTTCGATCGAATTTATTTGTTTTATAATATGATAAAGAATGTGCTTAGTCGATGTTTAAAATCACTGAAAAAAAACAGGGCTACACAAGGTTACCCAGTGCATCATAGACACTTGATAATAAAATACGTTTAACCAAATTGTAAAATGTAGAGTAGTGCACCCATTCGTTCCACAGAAGCAATTAAAAATGACTAGGGCTGTCACACAATAAAAAATTGAGTTGATTAATCACATAGTTATGGTGAGTTATCGCACGATTAATCACATTTTTAACATTCTATTTCCATTCACTCAATTGAAGTTAAATGAGATTTTCAAATGTAATGGCACACTTGTTATTCATACACAAATATACTTTAATCTGTTTTAGACTGCTCATCACAATCATTTAATTCTTGGGTACAACCCAACATAAGTGTTAATGAAACGGGAAAATGTAGGTACCCCAGCTTTAATTTTCTCCCATATTGCCAGCTGTTTCTGATGATTTTATGAATAATTCAGCATTTAGTCTGTAGTAAATTCACACCGTAGGATTTTATCTCCGGATCGGCCATCAGCCGCCTTAAAAGTGGATCTCTTCCATCTCTATTCCCTGGTCATATTTTATAGCACACCTAAGTGGGACGGAGTCTGCATTCAGAAGGCTCAGAAACGACTGCTTGTCTTTCAGAGCAAATTAGCCAGGCGTTTATGCGGCTTATCCACCCCCAGGTAATTATGTATTCATTCATGTACTTTTTTGATGCAGATTATTTTTGAATAATATTATTACTATGAACAAACTAGATAAGTGCTCAGTGTCAAAAACATGTTTGGGAACAAAATCAATGGAGTTCAAATAAAAGCTGTGAAATGGTTGCTGTGCGGAAAGCCTGGTTCTCAGGGGGGGCGGCCTGATCTCCTCATGGGGGTTAAGGTTAGGTGTGGAGAAAGCCCTGGGACTCCAGGGGGCTGATGTGCAGGCGTGGGGGGCGGCCTTGGATTCTCCATGGGTTAAGGTTAGGTGTGGAGAAGCCGCTGACCTCCTGGGGGGCTATGTGCGGCGTGGGGGCGGCCTGGGATCTCCATTGGGGGTTAGGGTTAGGTGTGGGAGGGCCTAGGACCATTACCCTAACCCCGCTCTGGACCAGGACTGAGGCTGTAGACCCAGGGCTGAGGTTGTAGACCCAGGACTGAGCTTTAAGACCCAGGATTGAGGCTGTGGGACCCAGGAACTGATGTCTGGACCCAGGACTGAGGTAGAGACCAGGGCTGAGGTTGTATCGACCCAGAACTGAGGTTTTAGACCCAGGGCTGAGGCTGTAGACCAGGACCTGAGGCTATAAGACCCGAGGACTAGATCTGGACCCAGGACTGAGGTTTTAGACCAGGGCTGAGGCTGTAAACCAGGACTGAGGCTAATAGACCTAGGGCTGCGTCTGTAGACCCAGGAAGGAGGTTATAGACCGAGGTCTTGAGTCTGTAGGATCAGGAGCTGAGCCTGTAGACCAGGGGACTGAGGCTGTAGCCAGGACTGAGGCTGTAGACCGGGACTGGGCTGTTAGACCCAGGACTAAAGTCTGGCCCCAGGACTGAGGTTGTCAGGACCAGGATGAGGTATTAGACCCAGGACTGGAGGGCTGAAGTACCCAGAGGGACTGAGCGCTGTAGACCCCGGACTGAGCTCTTAGGACAGGGACTGAGGCTCTAGACCCGGACTGAGGCTCTAGCCCAAGGACTGAGGCTTTAGACCCAGGATGAGGCTGTGGACCCAGGTACTGAAGCTCTGGACCCAGGACTGAGGCTGTTAGAACCAGACTGAGGCTGTAGGACCAGCGACTTGAGCCCTGTTGACCCGAGACTGATGCTCTAGACCCAGGACTCGTTGCTTTTCAGGCTGTAGACCCAGGACTGAGGCTGTAGACCCAGGACTGAGGCTGTAGACCCCGGACTGTGGCTGTAGACCCAGGACTGAGGCTGTTAGACCAGTCCTTGGGTCTACCAAGACTGAGGCTGTATACCAGGACTTGGCTATAGACCCCAGGACTGAGGCTATTAGACCCAGGACTGAGGCTATTATACCCAGGACTGAGGCTTGTTAGACCCAGGAGGATGAGCTGTAGACCCAGGTAGAGGCTGTATCCCGGATGAGCCTGTATTAGACCCAGGATCTGTGGCTCTAGACCCTGGATGAGGCTGTAGATCCTGGACGGGGCTGTGACCAGGACTGAGGCTGTAAGACCAGGACTGAGGTTGTAGACCAGGACTGAGGCTGTAGACCCAGGACTGAGGCTGTAGACCCAGGAGTGAGGCTAAAGACCAGGATGGAGGCTGTAGACAGATCTGAGGCTATAGACCGGAATGAGGCTGTAGACCAAGAGACCTGATGCTGTAGACCCCAGGACTAAGGTGTCTAGACCCCGGACTGAGCTGTAGACCCAGGGCTGAGGTTTTAGACCAGGACTGAGGCTTTAGACCCAGTATTGAGGTGTGGTCCAGCGACTGAAGCTCTGGACCAGGACTGAGGCTGTAGGCCCGAGGGCTGAGCTGTATCCCAGGGACTGAGGCTGTAGACCCAGGACTGAGGCTGTAGGACCCAGGGTCTGAGGCTGATTGACCCATGACTGAGGCTGTAAGACCAGGACTGAGGCGTGTAGGACCCATGGACTGAGGCTATAGAACCAGGGACTGAGTCTGTAGACCCAGGACCTGAGTCCTGTAGACCCAGGACTGAGCCTGTTAGACCCTGGACTGAGCTGTAGACCATGGTCTGAGGCTGTAGACCCCGAGGACTTGAGGCTATAGACCAGGGCTGAGGTTTTGTAGACAGGCTGAGGTTTTAGACCCATGGCTGAGATGTAGACCTAGGACTGAGGCTGTGACCCCAGGAGTCTGAGGCTTTGTAGATCCAGGAAGAGGCTGTGGACCCAGGACTGAGGCAGTAGTCCAGGATCTGAGCTGTAGACCCGGACTGTGGCTGTGGGACCAGGGATGAGGCTGTTATCCCAGGACTGACGTCTGTAGACCCAGGACTGGAGGCTCTAGGAACCAGGGACTGAGGCTGTAGACCAGGACGAGCATCTTACACCCTAGGACTGAGGCTTCTAGACCCAGGATGGAGGCTGTGGACCAGGACTGAAGCTCTGGACCCTAGGATGAGGTGTAGACCCAGGGCTGAGGCTGTAGGACCCAGGACTGAGCCTGTAGACCCCAGGACCGAGGCTCTTAGACCAGGGACTGAGCCTGAGACCCAGGACAAAAAAACGTCAATGCCCCAGGATGAGGCTGTTGGACCCAGGACTGAGGCTGGTAGGACCCCAGGACTGAGGTTTTAGACACAGCACTGAGGCTGTAGACCAGGACTGAGGCCCTATAGACACAGGGCTGAGGCTGTAGACCCAGGATGAGGCTCTAGACCTGGACTGAGGCTGGCAGACCAGGACTGAGGCGTAGACCCGAGGGGACTAAGGCGTGTAAGACCCAGGACTGAGGCTCGCTAGAACCCAGGGCTGAGGCTGTTAGGTCCCAGGACTGAGGCTTTAGACCCAGGATTGCGCTGTGGACCCAGGACTGAAGTGTTAGAACCCAGAGGACTGAGGCTGTAGACCAGGACTGAGGCTGTATCCCAGGACTGAGCCTGTAGAACAGGGACTGAGGCTCTAGACCCTCGGATGGGGGCTGTAGAACCAGGACTGAGCCTGTAGACCCAGGAATGAGGCGTAGACCCCAGGACTGAGCTTGTAGACCCAGACTTAGGCTGTAGACCCCGGACTGAGGCTGTGATCCAGGGACTGTGCTGTAGACCCAGAATGAGGCTCTAGAAAAATAAAAAAAAATAATACAAAAAAAAATAGACCCTAGGACTGTGGCTGTTAGACCCAGGACCTGAGGCTGTAGGCACTGACTGAGCCTCTACACCCAGGGATGGGCTTTAGACAGGATGAGGCTGTGGGACCCAGGACTGAAGCTCTGAACCCTAGGGGACTGAGGCTGTAGTCCCAGGCAATGAGGATGTAGACCCAGGAACTGTGCCTGTAGACCATGGCACTGAGGCTCTAGACCCAGGACTGAGTGTAGGACCCAGACTGAAGGCTCTAGACGCAGGACTGAGGCTGTGAACTGGACTGAGGCTGTAGACCAGACTGATGCTCTAGACCCAGGACTGAGGCTGTAGACCAGACTGGGGCTGTAGACCAGACTGAGTGCTCTAGACCAGTGACTGAGGCTGTTGCCCAGGACTGAGGCTGTAGTCCAGGACTGGAGCCTGTAGACCAGGCCTGGCTCTAGACCCAGGACTGATGTCTGGAGACCAGGACTGAGGCTGTGGACCGAGGACTGAAGCTCTTGGACCGGACTGAGGCTCTAGAACCAGGATGAGGCTGTAGACACAGGACTGAGCTTGTAGACCCAGGACTGAGCGCTATAGACCCAGGACTAAAGCTCTGGACCCAGGACTGAGGTTGTAGACATAATAGACTGAGGTTTCAGACCCAGGGATGAGGCTGTCAGACCAGGACTGTGGCTCTAGACCCAGGACTGAGGCTTTCGTGGGACCAAGGACTGAAGCTCTGGACACAGACACTGAGGATTTAGACCCAGGACTGTGGCTGTATGAACCAGGACTCGAAGCTCTGGACCCTAGGACTGAGGCTGTAGACCGGACTGAGGCTGTAGACCCAGGATCTCGAGCTGTAGACCAGGACTGAGGCTCTAGACCCAGGACTGAGGTGTAGACCAAGGGATGAGGCTGGTAGACCCCAGGACTTGAGGCTGTTCAGACCCAGGACTGAGGCTGTAGACCCAGACTGAGGCTGTCGACCCAAGGATCGAGCCCTCTGACACCAGGACTGAGGCTCTAGACCCAGGACTGCCGGCTCATAGACCCAGGACTGAGGCTGTAGACCCAGGACTGAGCCTCTACACCAGCGACTGGAGGCTATAGACCCAGGACTGAGGCTCTAGACCAGGGATGAGGCTTTAGACCAGGCTGAGGCTCTAGACCCCGGACTGAGGGCTGTAGACACAGGACTGAGCCTCTACACGCCAGACTGGAAGCTCTGGACCCAGGATGTGGCTGTAGACCCAGGGGACTGAGGCTATAGACCAGGGCTGAGGTTTGTAGACCAGGAATAGTGCCCGTTTTAGCCGCATGGCTGAGGCTGTAGACCACGGGCACTGAGGCTGTAGACCCAGGACGCTGGCTGTAGATCAGGACTGAGCCTTTTTAGACCCAGGATTGAAGGCTGTTGACCCCAGACATGAAAGCTCTGGACCCGACTGAGGCTGTTAGACCCAGGACTGAAGCTGTTGACCCCAGGACTGAGGTTGTAGACCCAGGACTGAGGATGTAGGACAGGACTGAGGTTTTAGACCCAGGGCTGAGGCTGTAGTTCCAGGACTGAGGCAGTACTCCCACGGGACTGAGCCTGTAGACCCAGGACTGAGGCTGAGACACCAGGACTGAGGCTGGTAGGCACAGGAGCTGAGCCTCTACACCCTAGGACTGAGCTTTAGCCCAGGATTGAAGGCTGGTGGACCCAGGACTGAGGCTGTAGACCAGGACTGAGGCTGTAGACCGAGGACTTACGGCTGTCGGACCCAGACTGAGCTGTAGATCCGGACTGAGGCTGTAGACCCAGGACTGAGGCTCTGGACCCGGACTGAGGCTGTAGGATCCCAGGAAATGAGGCAGTAGCACAAGGATGCAGCCTCTACCACTGGACTGAGGCTTTAGGACCAGGATTGAGGCTGTGAGACCAGGGATGAAGCTCTGAAACCCAGGACTGAGGCTGAAGACCCAGACTGAGGCTGTAGACCCAGGACTGAGCTGTACGACCCAGGACTGAGGCTTAGACCAGGGACTGAGGCTGTAGACCCAGGACTGAGGCTCTAGTCCCAGGACTGAGGTGTAGGACACAGGGATGAGGCTGTATACCCAGGACCTGAGTGCTCTAGACACAGGACTGAGGGCTGTAGACCCAGGACAGAGGCTGTAGGACCAGGGACCTGAGGGCTCATGACCCAGGACTGAGGCTGTAGACCATGACTGAGCTGTAGATCCAGGACTGAGCTGTCGCCCAGGACGGAGGAAACTAGAACCAGGACTGAGGCTGTAGACCCAGATCTGAGGTGTGGACCAGGACTGACAGTCTGGACCCCTGGACTCAGGCTCTAGACCGGTCTGAGGTGTAGACCCAGGACTCTGAGGCGTAGACCCAGGTCTGAGGCTATAGACCAGGACCTAAGCTCTGAGACCCAGGGACTGAGGTTGTTAGACCTAAGCGGACTGAGGTTTCAGACCCAGGGATGAGGTGTCGACCAGGACTGAGGCTCTATGACCCAGGACTGCGGCTGTGGACCCCAGGACTGAAGCTCTGACCCAGGATGAGGCTGTAGACCAGGACTGAGGTGTAGACCCAGGACTGGAGCTCTGGACCCAGGACTGAGGCTGTAGACCCAGGACTGAGGCTGTAGGATCCTGGGACTGAGCCTGTAGACCAGACTGAGGTCTGTCCCAGGACTAGGCTTGTAGACCCAGGATGAGGTGTAGACCCAGGACTGAGCTGTAGACACAGGACTGGGCTGTAAGACCAGGACTGAGGATGTAGACCAGGATGAGGCTGTAGACCCAGGACTGATCCTTACACCCAGGGACTGAGGCTCTGACCAGGACCGGGGTCTAACAGGCTCCAGTCACCTGGGTCTTACAGCCTCAGTCCTGGGGTCTACAGCCTCAGTCCTGGGTCCGAGCTTCAGTCTGGGTTCTACAGGCCTCTGTCCTGGAGTCTACAGCCTCAGTCCTGGGTCCAGAGCTTCAGTCCTGGGTTCACAGCCTCAGTCCTGGGTTCTAGAGCCTCAGGTCCTGGTCTACCGCCTCGCTCTGGGTCTGAAACCTCAGTCTGTAGGTTCTACAACCTCCTGTCTGGGTCCAGAGCTTTAGTCCTGGGTCTATAGCCTCAGTCCTGGGTCTTCAGCTCAGTCTGGGTTACAGCCTCTGTCTGGGTCTAGAGCTCAGTCTGGGGACCAGAGCTTCCGTCCTGGGTCCACTGCCTCAGTCCTGGGTCTACAGCCTCAGTCCCTGGGTCTAGAGCTCAGTCCTGGTGTCTACCGGCTCAGTCTGGTTATACAGCCTCAGTCCTGGGTCTACAGCCTCAGTCTGCGGTCTAGAGCCTCAGTCCTGGGTCTACCGCCTCAGTCTGGGTCTACAGCCTCTGTCTGGGTCTGAGCCTCAGTCCTGGGTCTACAGCTCAGTCTGTGTCTACAGCCTCAGTCCTGGGTCTAGACCCCTCAGTCCTGCGGTCCTACCGCCTCAGTCTGGGGATCTAGAGCCTCAGGTCTGGGTTCTTCAGGTCTCAGTCCTGGGTCTACAGCAACTCAGTCCCGGGTCTCCGCCTCAGTCCTGGGGTCAGAGCTTCCAGTCTGGGGCCACAGGCCTCAAACCTGGGTCTAAGCCTCCAGTCCTGGAGTGTAGAGGCTCAGTCCTGTGCCTAAAGCCTCAGTCCTGGGTCTACAGCCTCAGTCCTGGGTCTAGGAGCCTCAGTCCTGTGTCTACAAGCCTCAGAACCTGGATTCTACAGCCTCTGTCCTTGGGTCTCTGCCTTAGTCTCGGGTCTACAGCCTCAGTCCTGGGCGTCTACAGCCTCAGTCCTGGGTCCACAGCTTCAATCCTGAGGTTCTAAAGCCTCAGTCATGGGTGTGTAGAGGCTCAGTCTGTGCCTACAGCCTCAGTCCTGGGTTACAAGCCTCAGTCCTGGGTCTACAGGCTCAGTCCTGGGATTACAGCCTCAGTCCTGATCCAACAGCCTCAGCCATGGGGTCTAAAACCTCAGTCCTGGGTCTACAACTCAGTCCAAGGTCTACAACCTCAGTCTGGTCTACAGCCTCAGTCCTGGGTCTACAGCCCTCAGCCTGGTCCAGAGCTTCAGGTCCTGGGTCTACAGCCTCAATCCTGGGTCTAAAGCCTCAGTCATGGATCTACAGCCTCAGTCCTGCGGTCTACAGCCTCAGTCCTGACGGTTACAGCCTCATCCATGCGTCTACTCTAAAACCTCAGTCCTTGGGTCTTACCACCTCAGCCCTGTGGTCTATAGCCCTCAGAAAATCCCGGGGTCTACAGCTCAGGTCCTGGGTCCAGAGCTTCAGTCTGGGTGTAGAGCTCAGTCCTTGTGTTACAGCCTTCCCAGTCCTGGGTCTAGAGCTCAAGTCCTGGGTCTTCTAAAAGCCTAGTCCTGGGTCTAGAGCCTCAGTCCTGGGTTCTAGAGCCTCGTCCTGGGTGTAGAGGCTCAGTCCTGGGTCTACAGCCTCAGTTCTGTCTAGAGCTCAGTCCTGGGTCTAGACGCCTCAGTCCTGGTGTAGAGGCTCAGTCCTGGGTCTACAGCCTCGTCCTGGGTCTACAGCCTCAGTCCTGGTGGTCTACTGCCTCAGTCTGGGTCTACAGCCTCAGTCCTGGGTCTACGAGCTCAGTCCTGGGTCTAGAGCTCGTCCTGGGTCTACAGGGCTCAGTCCGGGGTTACAGCCACAGTCTGGGATCTACAGCCTCAGTCTGGGTCCAGAGCTTCAGGTCCTGGGTCTTCAGCCTCAGCCTGGTCTACAGCCTCATTCCTGGGTCCAGAGCTCAGTCCTGGGTCCACAGGCCTCAGTCTGGTCTAGAGCGCAGTCCTGGGTCTACAGCCTCTGCCCTGGGTCTGAAACCTCAGTCTAGGTCTACAACTCCGTCCTGGGTCAGGCTTTAGTCCGGGGTCCTATAGCTCAGTCCTGGGTCTAAAGCCTCAGTCCTAGGGTCTACAGCCTCTGTCTGGGTCTAGAGCGCAGTCCTGGGTCAGAGCTTCAGTCCTGGGTCCCAGCATCAGTTGGGTCTACAGCCTCAGTCCCTGGGTCTAGAGCCTCCAGTCTGGGTCTACAGGCTCAAGTTCCTGGATCTTACAGCCTCAGTCCGGGTCTAACAGCTCAGTCATGGGTCTAGAGCCTCTGTCGGGGTTCTACAGGCCTCAAGTCCTGATGTCTCAGCCTCAGTCCTGGGTCCTAGAGCCTCAGTCCCTGGGTTACGCCTCAGTTCCTGTGTCTACAGCCTCAGTCCTGGTCTAGAGCCTCCTGTCCTGGGTCTACAGCTCAGTCTGGTCTAGAGCATACAGTCCTGGGTCTACAGGCTCAGTCTGGGTCTACAGCCTCAGTCCTGGGTCTACTAGCCTCAGTCCTGGGTTCAGAGCTTCAGTCTGGGTCCACAGCCTCAATTCCCTGGGTCTAAGCCTCAGTCCTGGTGTGTAGTGGCTCAGTCCTGTGCCTACAGCCTCAGTTCCTGGGTCTACAGCCTCAGTCCTGGGTCTAGAGCCTCAGTCTTGGGTCCTACAGCCTCAGGTCCTGGATCTACAGCTCAGTCCTGGGTCTACAGCCTTAGTCCTGGTTCTACAAGCCTCAGTCCTGGGTCTACAGGGCCTCAGTCCTGGGTTACAGCTCAGTCCTGGTCTATCAGCATCAGTCCCGGGTCTTAGAGCCTCAGTCCTGGTCTACAGGCTCAGTCCTGGGATACAGCCTCGTCCTGGGTCTACAGCCTCGTCCTGGGTCTACCGCTTCAGTCCTGGGGTCCACAGCCTCAATCCTGGGTCTAAAGCCTCAGTCCTGGGGCTACCAGCCTCAGCCCTGGAGTCTACAGCTCAGTCCTGGGTCTACAGCTTAGTCCTGGGTCTACAGCCTCAGTCCTGGGTCTGCAGCTCAGTCCTGCGGTCTTGTGCTCAGTCCTGGGTCTACAGTCTCCAGCCCTCGGTCTATAGCCTCAGTCCGGGTTCTACAGCCTCAGTGCTTGTGTCATAAACCTCAGTCCTGGGTCTACAGCCTCGTCCTGGGTCCACAGCCTCAATCCTGGGTCTTAAAGGATCAGTCCTGGGTCTTCAGGCTCAGTTCATGGGTCTAGAGCTCTGTCTGGGTCTACAGGCCTCAGTCCTGGGTCTACAGCCTCAGTCTGGGTCTACAGCCTCAGGCACTGGGGTCCAGGAGACTTCAGTCCTGGGTCCACCAGCTCAATCCTGGGTCTAAAGCTAGTACTGGGGTGTAGAGGCTCTTCTGGGTCTACAGCCTCAGTCCTGGGTCTAGAGCCTCAGTCCTGGGTTACAGACTCAGTCTGGGAAAACAGCCTCAGTCCTGGCGTCCCCACAAGCCCAGTCCTGGGTCTACAGGCTCAGTCCTGGGGATACAGCCTCAGTCCTGGGTCCCACGCTCTTTCCCTGGATCTACAGCCTCAGTCATGGGTCTACAGCCTCAGTCCGGGTCTACAGCTAGCCATGGTCTAAATCCTCAGTCCTGGGTTCTACAACTCAGCCTGGGTCTATAGCCGCAGACCTGGTCTACAGCCTCAGTCCTGGGTCTACAGCTCAGTTCCTGGGTTACAGGCTCAGTCCGGGGTCTACAGGCCCTCTGTCCGGGTCTACAGACTCAGTCCTGGGTTCGATAGCCTCAGGTCCTGGTCTACGCTCAGTCCTGGGTCGACAGCCTCAGTCATGTGTATACTGCCTCAGTCCTGGGTCTACAGCCTCAGTCCTGGGTCTACAGCTCAGTCCTGGGATACCGCCTCAGTCCTGGGTCTTCAGCCCAGTCCTGGGTCCAGAGCTTCAGTCCTGGTCCACAGCCTCAATACTGGTATAAAGCCTCAGTTCCTTGGGTCTAAAACCTCAGCCATGGGATACAGCCTCAGTCCTGGGTCTACAGCCTTAGTCCTGGGTCTACAGCATCAGTCTGGGGTTACTAGCAGCGTCTGGGTCTATAGCCTCAAGTCCTGGGTCTACAGCCTCAGTCTTGGGTCTTAAAAGGGCCTCAGTCCTGGGTCTACAGCCTCTGCTCCTGGGCTCTACAGCCTCGTCCTGGGGTCTACAACTCAGTCCTGGGTCTACAGCCTCAGTTCGTGGGTCTACAGCCTCAGTCCTGGATCTACAGCCTCAGTCTGGGTCTAGAGCCTCAGTCCTGGGTCTACAGCTCAGTCCTGGGATACAGGCCTCAGTCCTGGGTTACAGGCTCAGTTCCTGGGTCTACTGCCTCAGTCTGGGTATATAGCCTCAGTCCTGGGTCTAAAGCCTCGAGTCCTGTGTCTCATAGCCTAAGTCCTGGGTCTTCAGCCTCAGTCTTGCAAAGACCAGGATGGTCTCAGCATCTGTCCTGGGTCTACAGCCACAGTCGGGGTCTACAGGCCTCAGTCCTGGGTCTACAGCCTCGTCCTGGGTCTACAGACTCAGTCCTGGGGCTAGAGCATCAGCCAACCACACCACAACACACCAAAAAACTCCTGGGTCTACAGGCCCTCAGTCATGGGTCTACAGCCTCAGTCCTGGGTCTACAGCCACAGTCTGGGTCCAGAGTTCAGTCCTGGGTCCACAGCCTCAATCCTGGGTCTAAGCCTCATACCGGGTCTTGAGCTCAGTCCTGGGTCTAGAGCCTCAGTCCTGGGTCTAGAGGCCCTCAGTCCTGGTTCTACAGCCTCAGTCCTGGGTCTTCAGGCCTCAGTCTGGGGTCTAAAACCTCTGTCCTGGGTTCTACAACAATCACAGTCCTGGTCCAGAGCTTTAGTCCTGGGTCTACAGCCTCAAGACCTGCGGTCTACAGCTCAGTCCTGGGGTTACAGCCTTCAGTCCTGGGTCTACCGGCTCAGTCCTGGATCTACAGACTCAGCCATGGGTCTATAGCCTCATTCTGGGTCATACAGACTCAGCCCTGGGTCTATATGCCTCAGTCCTGGGGTTACAGCTCAGCCCTGGGTCTAAAACCTAGTCCGGGTCCAGAGCTTTAGTCCTGGGTCTATAGCTCAGTCTGGGTCTACAGCCTCAGCCATGGTCTAAAACCTCAGTCATGGGGTCTACACCTCAGCCCTGGGTTCTATAGCCTAGTACTGGGTCCAGAGCTTCAGTCTGGGTCCACAGCCTCAATCCTGGGTCTAAAGCCTCAGTCCTGGGTCTTACAACCTCAGACTTGGGTCTACAGCCTCTGTCCTGGGTCTGTAGCTGGGTTAGGGTTAGGGTCCAGGCCTCTCCCCACACTAACCCTAACCCCATGGAGATCCAGGACGCCCCCACGCCTGCAATAGCCCCCTGGAGGTCCAGGGCTTCTCCACCAAACTAACCTTAACCCCCTGGAGATCCTGGCCGCCCCCACGCTGAACATAGCCCCCCGGAGGTCCTGGGCTTCTCCACACCTATACCTTAACCCCCATGGAGATCCAGCCGCCCCCCTGGAGCAACCAGGGCTTCCCCACACCATTTTCATGCTTTTATTTGACACCTTTGATTTGTTCCCCCAAACATGTTTTGACACTGAGCACTTATCTCGTTTGATTCATGTAATAATTATTAATTCAAAATAAGCTAGAATCAAAAATGTAATGAATGAGAATACATATTTAACTGGGGTTGATATGCCGATAATCGCCCTGGCTTATTTGCTCTGAAAGGACCAAGCTGTCGTTTCTGAGCCTTCTGAATGCCAGACTCCCTTTAGGTGGTGCAATAAAATTAATTCCAGGGGAAATGAGATGGAAGAGATCCCTTTTAAGGCGGCCTGATGCCGATCGTGATAAAATCCTCGGTGTGAAATTTACTACAGACTAAATGCTGAATTTATCTCAGTAAAATCATCAGAAAACAGCTGGCAACTTTTGGAGAAATTAAGCTGGGGGTATACCATTTGCCCTCTTCTTTAACAGCTTTTGTTGGTTGTACCCAAAAGTAGATAGGTTGTGAGCCAGTCTAACCGATTTAAGTACATTTGGTATGCATAACAATGTGCCATTACATTTGATAATCTCATTTAAGCTTCACTTGGAGTGTTTTGAATTAGAATGTTATAATGTGATTAATCGTGCGTTAACTCACCATTTAACTATTTTTTGTTGATGAATCAACTCAATTTTTTTATTGTTTGGACAGCCATAGTCATTTCTTAATGCTTCTGGGAACGAATGGTGCCATACTCTACATTTTACAATTTGGTTAAAACGTAATTTTATTATCAAAGTGATCTATGATGCACTGGGGTTCGCCTGTGTAGCCCTGTTTTTTTCAGTGATTTTATACATCTACTAAGCACATTTCTTTATCCTATTATTAAAACAAAACTAATTCGATCGAAATTTGAAAGCAGTAGTCCAGAAAATAAGAATAATATAATTTAGGGTTTCATTAAAAGTATTATACTAGTAGATATTAAAATAAATATTTTATGCACTGAAAATTGGATGTTGATTACTACAATTAAAATGTAATTAAGTAGTACATTTATTTATTTTATTTTTACATAATCTTTTTTTTGACTAATTTGATGCACTAGTTACGGTGTATAGTCCGCCCACTAATATAGTGACTGGTGTGGATGGATATAGTGTGACGTTTCGGATACAGCACATTTTTACCTGCATTCTATTGTAAAAGTGATATGAATAATCAATTTGACGGACTGTCACCATAGTCAAACACATTGCCACACCGTGTTTTCTTTTTAACTGGAAAGCTTGCTGTAATATGATACATCCTCCTCAAATTTTTAATTTGGTAAGAGACTATTTTTATTGTCTGTATTTTGTCTTGATCCTACTGTTTTACCATTTAATGTTGTGTGTTGAGTTTATTATCACATGTTTTGGGTTGAAGAGTTATAAAATGAGTCTTTGTTGCCTTTTCCTCTAGTTCTGTGTGAGAGGACTTGTGGTATGATTTCATGGTCATGTGGCTGTGTGTCTGAGTGTTTGGGCCCCTCACTTTATGCCCATGACCCTCCTCTTTATTTCATGTCTCTGAAATTCCTCACATGTATAGTTGTTGATAGCGAAGGCTTTCTGGAACTGAGGATGAAGATTGAACATAAACTGTGGAGCCTATTAGTTTTTCTGACCCTATGAATTATAGATCACAAAGCTTTATGCATGAAATTGCATCCTGATAAAAATATCCTTCAAATTACTAACACTGAT